GTTCTAATGGGTTTCTGAAAGGATGGAGAAAGGGGGGGGGGGGGGGAAGGAGGGGCTAATTGCATACTCAAGTTGTATGAGGGAAATAAGGAAATCATGAATGGATTTGAGCAGCGAAGGTTCATGATTGATGAAGGGTCGGATTAGCAAAAATTCAACTAGGGGTAAAACTACCCCCCTCCCCCTCACCCCCCTACCCCACCCACTAAGATTGTTGTGACAACATTTTCAATATACAAAAACAAATATGTATGACCAAAATTAGCTCCCCAAAAAATGCTGTCCATCCCAAAATCAGGATTGAACGCACTTTCAAACTCGAAATTTTATTTTTCATTGCGACTCTTATAAAATAAGTTATTGCGATTATGCCCTTCTTATAAACATTAAATTTTTTTTTGTACTCTTCCTCTCAACTGACTGTTGTTACCATAATCTCTTTCATCCCAGCATCAATGTGTGCATAAAAATTCTTATTTTTTTTTGCCGCACTTGGTTACATAAAAAAAACACAAAAATATGTATAACTTATTGCCCTCCAATAAATACCCGAAAAAAAATAAAGATCAACGAAGAAGACTTTTTTTTGAAAGTTTATACATCCATAGGCAGATATGTATAAAAGAAATATCAAAACATTGCAACGGGTCGCAATGAATGTAAAAAGAGGTAGAAAGGGAGATGGAGAGTGAAATAAACGAGAGATAAAGAAATTTATGTTGATTCACATTTTTGTTGAAAAGATTTATGGATGCAAAGTGATTTTGCATCACTTTTTTTTCGTGGATTTTTTTATTTTTTGTAGATCTTTTAATGAATGATAATTCAATGGAGATTTTTATCGATTTGTAATGAAACGGGGAGATTAAGATGAACATTTAATTAATTGTGGAAATTTTTTAAATTTTGAGAAACTTATTGAACTTTAAATATGTTTTTAAGCCATAAATCATTGTGGAAAAAACTGTATATCAAAATAATACTATTAAAAACAGAATAATGCAAGGTTCAGTTCCTAGAAATTAAGAAATTTTAAATTATAATGTGTAAACCAAGGCGAGGAAACTATCCCAAATATCTCATTTATCCCACATATCCCCAAAATATTCAAAATAATCCCTGAGCCTGTATGCATTAGAATTGAGATATCCCATCATATCCTGAAATTACACGTCCAATACACTAAGGATACGTTGGGATATCTCAATTCCAATGCATACAGGCTCAGGGATTATTTTGAATATTTTTGGGATATATGGGATAAATGGGATATTTGGGATAGTTTCCATGCCTTGGTGTAAACTTTTTAAAATTTTTGGCATAAAATTTAATTTTTTATAGTTTTATAAATTCACAAAATAATTAAAACTTAAAACCCTAGCTATAAAAAATGTGATAGCAACAGAAATAACATAAATTAGAAGCGATACAGAAAGGAGTGAGAAGAAGAATGAGACAAAATAAGAGTTTATAGTCAGCTTATAATATATTTGTCACCTTCTTAAGATTCCTCAGATCGTCTATAGAGATAAATTTATATATTGCTCCTCAAATGAGTCAGAAAGGAAAAGTTTTCTTGTTAGTGGATATTCTTGAGTTCAGATGATGATGGAGGAGGTTGAGGTGGTGGTTTGTCTGGATGTCTGATGGCTGACAAGTATATTGTTGCTTTTTTCGATCAATGTCATCTGATTCTCGCTTAAAGAATATTAATTAGGTTAATTTTCGGTTCGGACATTGTAAGCAACCTAATGATCCATCAAAAAATGCGCTCTAATCAACAAAATCCCATAAATCTTCAAACTCTCATCATTTGACTTAATTTTTCTCAATTCACATTCACAAAAAAAAATTATTTCTCATTTTTTTGTTAAGCAATTTAAACAGATTTATCAACAGCAAATGTCATTGTATGCGTGAAAGAACATTAACATTACGAAAGAGAATGAATGAGATAGATATGAAAATGAGATATAATGTGATGAATAAGTAATGCGATCTTATAAGATATATCACTCAAAGCATGTAAGCTAATAATTCAATTCAAATTAATTTATAACATTAAGGTGACAAGTTCAACAATGTGTGACGAAGCAGAACAACTTGTGCTTGTTGGCTTTAGACAAAAAAAAAGCGAATGTAGAACTCATTAATCCATCGATGTTATTTAGTTTTCAATTCCTCATCATTCCACACTCATTCTCATTAAATTTCATAGTTCAGTGCGTTTTTACTAAGAATTAAATTGGAGCTGAGCTGAGTCTCTTTCTACTCAAAAAATTTGTGGCATTTCAACGCAAAATTATCAATTACATTTCAACACTTGACTGTCTTGAAGAAATTTTTTTGTTATTGATCTTGAACATGTGTTGTGGATTCCTGGAACTTGTAGCTGTTTTGTGTTTTTATTTTGTTGGACAATTTTAATATTTTGTATATGATTTATTTATATTTTATTTGATTTATGAGCTGGAGATTGTCATTTACAAATGTTGAACTGATTTTGGAGAATTTTCTTTGTGGTTCTAAAGTGGATCATATAAAATAGTTGAGATTGCGATTCATAATTGGTTTTTGTAAAGAACTCGTAAATGAAAGTTAAGAAATTACAAATTTAAAGCCAAGTCTATAAGGTTCGAATCCTATTGTTTCTCAACATTTTCCTTCTTTGCTTAGCGATTTTTTTTTTGGCAAAGTTTTAATTTTTTTTTACTAGCATCAAGCTTAAAATGCCTTTGATAATCTTAGATCCTGGCATTATTCACAAAACAGCAATAAACTTAGCATCAACTCTGCACTAACAAGATCAAAACCCAAACTTGTCATATTGATTTTTAATTATTCCATTTCTATCTCCCAAATACAACTTCTTATTCCATCGTGTCCATGTGCCATGCATATAATTTCGATCCAGAAATGAGAGAGACTGAAAAAATTAATTCCAATATTTATAATTTTTCGCTTTATTTGCTCCGCATTCTCTGGTTATAGTTCTTTATTTTATTTCTTCATGTTTTGCTGGATATGCATATAAATATTTTTTTAATACTCCACAAAAAAAAAGTTAAAAGAAAAGCAGAAAATCATTAGTCAGTGTTTGTTTATAATATACAGAAGATAAGTCGTTAATATATTTTATTCAAGCCATAAATTGAGCAGAGGTGAGTGCAAAATGAGTATGAGTATGGAAATGTGTTTGGATTTTAGGGAGGTCTGGAGTGCATTTTTGGATATTTGAGGTTTTTTGGTCTGGCACAGCAGGTTTAAGTATTGATTTGTTTGGAGACTAGCTTTTAAATTCTAGCTAACAACACTCCCAGAAACCCAAGATATCATCCAAAAATCAATAAATCCCCAATGACAGATTGGACATTGCGACCAAAAACCAACACCATAACTCACTTGATCATTAAATAAATCGTCCATACAAGTCCAACTGAGAAAGGCGCGCGCGTGAGAGGGAAAGAAATGGAAAGAATTATGAGATGCTTATGCATTTTATCAGCCACAACAATTTTCTTTCGATATACATTTATTGTACATTGCTTTACATGTAGATAGTTTAAGGGCATTATGGGTAATAATCGTAAGTGATTGCACACATGTAACAGCTTGTAAGCTCAATGGTAATTAATGAAAAGTTACACAGATGTGATTTCAATAAGGTATGGAAAGAAAAAAGATATGCAGCATGTAATAAAATCTCCAAAAAAAGAGAGCTACAAGAACAAGACATTCAATAATCAGCGTGCGATAAAAGCTTATTAAAATTGTATTTTCACATAACATAACAAGATATAATGTCGAATAAAAATGCGAATTGAGTGAAAAAAAATACAGAACATGCGGAACAAGAATTCTTACAAGGTCTGCACAAAAATTTGATCTTTGAGTGGCCTTTCTTCTTCCTTCTCTCCTCCTCGGACTCTATTTTCTTTTGCCATACTCCACACCACAAAACTCCTTTTTTTGGTTGGAATTTTTTCGTGGGTTCTTTTAAGTATGGATGGATAGGGGTTCTGAATTGTCGTGGATTCTTCGGGAATGTTCATAATATTAGTATGGAACTGTGGATTATTATTTATGAAAGTTTATAAACTGAACGACATAAATTATTCAAGTAGCACAAGTCGGTTAATTGAATACAAATCCGGTGCATAGCTAGCATGACTCTGGCATGGTGCTGGCTTCGATTGAAATATAGCAGTATGCCAGAGTCACACCGGCTTGTGCCATTCGGGTTTGTCAAAGAAAACTATGACCTCCGATTGCTATAGAGCTCCATAAAATTATGAGATTTGAACCTTCAATTGACAATGGTCCTTATCAGTTCGAATATTTGCTAACATAAATAATTCAGCAAAGTTTCATCAAATTCCACTTAAAATGCTCCAAAAAAAGCAAAGCTTCATCTCATCCGGAACCATTTGTTTCCCCAGCAACAAGTCAACAGGTCCCCAAAACAAGAGTAGAAAAAATGCCCAAAAAAAGAGTGTAGAGAGAAAGAATAATTTTTTTTATATTCCATATATGTTTATTTCTTCTTTTAATGTATATCAATAAAAGAACTGTGATTTTTATGTTCCTCAATAATACAGAATGTGGAAACAGAGATGAAAAAAAATGTTAAAGAGAAATCTCATCTTTTAAGCATGTTATGGATGAAATGACATGTGTATGGGTAAGGTATAAGGTAAGGCAACAAGTCTTTGTCTTCTCTCTCACCGTGCCTCGTTCGTTCCCTCCATTCCGAGAGTCTCGTTGAGACAAATGTTCTTTGCATGTTTTTCAATAATCCATGTGAATGTATATAGAGTGCTTTCAGGTATATCTCAATGCTTTTTTATTGAGGAAGACCATACATGCGAACCTCAATACATCCACAAATTAACAAACACACAGCGACTATCTCTCGTATTGTAAGAGGGCAGTAGAGTCGAGTAACGATTTTTTTTTATTTATTCTTTAGTATTTTTTTTCTCTTTTAGTTGTTTCTTAGACTTTGCTAATAATGCTACACGTCTTTATGCTCGCCTTTATCGTCTTCGTTCGCGCTTCGTTTCAGTTCAGTTCTTAACTAATTGAAAAGTTGGTGTCTTTTGACTGTGAAGTAATTTTTTTTTTATTATTGTGCATAAATTAAAAATGGAGTGAATATTGTGAAATTTTTTAGTCCATTCGGAACTGTGAAATTGTCCTCGGCTGGTCATTGATGACGTAGATTATGTGACATCAGGATGTGTGAAAGTTGATCAATCAAAAAAAAATATTTTTTTTGTCGCTTGTTTGTGTGAAAAAAAGCAAATATTTTGTGTCACATGCTGTGAAAGGAATAAAGTCATAAAAATAAGAAGAAGACAATTTCTTACAATTGATAGATTTTTGTGGCATTTAAAAATAATTTTTTGAACTTAAAAAAGTCAGGTCTTCCGTCATTGAAAGACTATTCCAATAAGAATTCAACTTTCTAATTCAAAAATCTCATAAAAAACCCAACTCAATCCTTATCAATCTCTTCTTCCTCTATCCCCAATCTATTCTTCTTTCATCATCCACCCGAAAACTCAAAAAAGTTTGTATATGATTGTGATAAACAAAACCCCACGTGTGATAGAAAATTCATCAGAACTTTCAATGGAATCGGGTGATAGTAATGATTGTGAGACATCACAAAATAATCGTGCAGAAGAGATGGCAGCAGCTGCAGCTGTCGTCTTATCCCTGCAAAGTACAATGGTGACAAGTCTACAGCAAGCTGCAATGCTGCCTATTAATTCACCAGCAGCAACAGCCTTGAATTTACAAGCATTGGAATCTTATTTCACCTTACAACGACTTTCATGCAAGTCGGATGTATTAAGATTGACATCGGGGAATAGTGGTGGGCCATTGCCATCGCTTCATCATTTTGCCGCTGTAGCGTCTGCTAATAATCAATCAACGCTAAATGAATTGTCAACAATCAAGACGAGTGACTTGGTTGATGATGAAGACGAAGAAATGCCAATGATGATGACCGCAGACGATGATGAGAATGATGATGACTTGGCGGTTGAGGCAAATTTACCGTCGGATGATTTTTCATTAGATAACAACTTGCCAAGCTTATTGATGAGCTCATCGTTCCGACAAAAATTCAATCAAGAATTAATGAATAAGAAGACGACAGAAATGTTATTAAAGAAGGCATCATCGTCATGTTCATCGTCAACGTCAACAACAGGTGCCTTAATGGCAGACGCAGCAGCTAAAATACAACAATGCAATACGTCATCGAATGTCGTTGCGGCTCCTGGTGGTGCCACACAAAGACCAAAAAAGCAATTTATATGCAAATTTTGCAATCGACAATTTACAAAGTCGTACAATTTATTGATACATGAGCGAACGCACACTGACGAACGTCCTTATTCCTGCGATATTTGTGGAAAGGCATTTAGACGTGCTGATCATCTTAGGTGAGAAATTTTCTAACCCACTTTAACTCTTCTTTTTTAATTGAATTTTAATGATTTTTTTTTTCTTCTCTCATTTATTTTTATTTACAGAGATCACCGGTCGGTAATATCAACTTCCATTGCCAATGGCGTGGTTTCTTTTCTTTCTCATACTTCTCTTTTTTTTCATCTCTAATGCGAAACTAAGACAGTTGGGATTGAATGATTTGTTAAGTTTTTATTCATACATATATCGACTGTTATGACAGATTGAGAATTTGGAGCAATATGATGAGGTCATTTTTGAGGGTCAATTTGTGAGCAGACATGCATGTTATGGATGTGGGTATGGATTAGATTCAAACAGGTTTATTTTGTTTCTCGAGGGGATATATTTGTGGTTTGAATCGAAAATTTCTTTATTTTTATGAAATCTTATGGTTTGGAGAGGATTAAAGTCGAACTTTGGTTTGTCTGTAGTCGAATCAAAGTGATTAGAACTTTCCAAGCTGAGTTCAGATTCTGGGTATGGTTCTGTACTGTTTGAATGTTAATCAAGCAAGTTTTGTGATATAAAACTTTACAAAACAACTCATTATACTTTTATGATCGTTAATGGGTTTGGAGCTTCCTGTATTTGCAATACTCTAGACAAATAAACATGTCATCATCACCAGGACCAGGGGAGGAGTTAGAATTTTTTTGACAAATATCACACAACTCATATTTCAAGATAAAACATGAAAGTACTTAAATTTTTAACAAAGTCCATTAAGGTGGGACTCGAACCCACAATACTGAGAACAAATTATCTCTGATTTTAAGTCCAGTGTCTCAATCATTCCGTTATCTAATCAATTAAGCACTATGGATATTTTTAACATAAGTATAAAATTTTTGATTCCAGCTATCCATAACCCTATTTTTCCAACCTCAATACACCCCATTCCTAGCACTCAATAAACTCATAAACATTCGCAAACATTTAATGAATCACAAAGTATTGATAAGATTAAAATAAAGATCAAAGAACGTTTAGCAATAAGCATGTACAATATTGCGTGCTAAATACGTGACTCATGACTTTTTCCTGTATGGGAAGAAGATTGAACCCATAACTCAGAATTTAAATATTTTTTGTAAGTTCCATTCAACACCTGGGTTCATGGCTTAGGTCATAAATTTGCTTTGGGAATTTGAATGAATTTTTGCATAATTTCTGTGATAACGTAAACAGGTTTTTGTTGGTATGTTGATGAGTTTGGAATGGATTTGGGATAGTAAATAGTCAGGTGATCATATATTGAAGCTTGAGACTCTGAAATACTTGAAAGTTGCTAAGGAAGTATCTCATCTATTCAGAAAACCACAAAAAATTCTAAAAAATAATTAAAATTAAGCTAAGCACCATAAAACACTAACTGATAATCTACATTCAGACCAAAAATCCCAGAATTACCTCAGCGATCACAACTCAGATTTCAATAGCCACACAGAAAGTCGAATAAATTACAAGATTATCATAAAAATTACTTAAATGTTCATTAATTATGTTGACATTTTCATTAAATTGCCACTTCAAAGGGATAAGCTCAATCTGAAGCTAATAAAGCCAGTCATTCTCATTAATCAATTTCCTAAGTACATAAAATTAATCTCATTAATTATAATTCAATATTTTTATTCATACACACATTATTTCTTGTTATGTACGCTTTTATAAACAGTCTTTTTCATTCTGCCACATCACAGTCAGTGATTCTTCTTCCTCTCCACCGCAGAAGAAGGAAGAGAAGAATTTACTTTAACACAAAATGTTGAAAAAATCGCAAGTAGGGAATGCATTTCATGTGTTGTGGTATAAAGCGCATTTTATGAGAATTTATAGTGGGTTGGTGATCATTCTTAAATGCTTCTTATTTAAAGATGCACACGTTTTTATTAAATCTCATAAATAATAGAATCTGATCTTTAATAATCATCCAGGAACCTCCCCAAACTGTCCACGACCTTACATCCCCATCCCTCACTAAAACCAGCTAAGAAAGAGTTCATAAGAGCACATACAAAAAGTTATTTCGCTTTGTTAACAAAAGGCTGAGGCATAACTGTTACGTAAATTTATTGTGTGCCTTAACGAATGACTTATGGTACTGTCCGCTGTGGAAAATAAGAGGTTCTTCTTCTCTCATCATTTCTACCTTCTCATTATGTATCGCGCGCGCCTTCCATACATATATATACACAAAAATTTCATGTTATTTCTCATCAAACAAGCCAAAGGAATGAGAATTCGAAAAGAATGGGGAAGAACTATATGCGCTATATGCTCAAGCACATGAATAATAACAATATTAAAATATTTAAAAAAACACGTGTGAACAATATTGTGTGTTGTGTTTTTCTACATAAGAATGGGAGGCATGATGGGCATTTAAAATTCTTACATTAATTCTTTACATTCAATCCCAGTTGGAAATTTATTGATTCGCCCTAATTTTATGAGATTACTGTCATTGTTGGCTATGTCTTTTGCATCTACAATTTTTTGTATTCAGTATTATTTTAATTTACAGATATATTCATTCCAAAGAGAAACCATTTAAGTGCAGGTAATTATTGTTGTGATTGTTATTAATTGGATTATATGGAAGTTGCTGGAGGTTAGCAATGACTAATCTGCATCTTAAAATGCAGACTTTATGTACGAATGGCCTTGTCATCATTTCCATATAAATGGGATTCTTAGAATCCTTTATTAAAAACCTTTAAGGATTCAAACCTCTAAAGACTCAGATATCATACACATCTTACGATGTTATGCCAAATTCATCTTTAAATTTTATATTTTATTCTAGCAAAATATTCGACTTAAAGGTTCAACTCCGCAAAAACCTTCAGCACTTCCAGTACAAATTACAAATTTTCACTAATTTTCTTAATCTTCAATTTTTTTTTATCCCCCATCCAGTGATTGCGGAAAAGGATTCTGTCAATCACGAACACTAGCCGTACACAAAATTCTTCATATGGAGGAATCGCCACACAAATGTCCCGTCTGCAATCGTAGCTTCAATCAACGTTCTAATCTAAAAACACATTTGCTCACTCACACCGACATAAAGCCGTATCATTGCAGTTGCGGTAAAGTATTTCGACGCAATTGCGATCTAAGACGGCACAGCTTAACGCATAATCTAGGTGGTAATAGTAATAGTAGTAGTAGTAGTAATAACATTAGTAATAGTTCGACAAATAATAGTAACAAATCACCAAGATCGTTATCATCATTAACCGGATCATCTGCAACGTCATCATCGACTGCAGTTAACTCATCAAATAATAATAACAATAATAAATTTAATATTGATTTAATAGCAGCTGTTGAATGAGAATTAGTTGTGCATTCTATTTTTTTTAAAAAAACCTTACACAAGGCATTTTTTGTATCTCTTTATATTCCGACTTTATTGAGTTGTTGATTACTGTTGTGTGAACTTTATTGATTGCCTTTTGGGGCATTTTGTCAGAATTTTTTTGAGGTTATGGTTAAGATTGTGAGGTCTAGGTTTGTTTTGGTAAATTAAGGAAACAATTTATGATTATACAAACTATTTAGTTGATCAATGTGATCATTGGTTAAGAGTTAAAGTTAAATCGTATAGTTAGAGTTATGATACTACAAAAAAGTAATTTTCAAAACCTAGTTTTCGAAAATCTAACCTCAAAAACCTTAAAACGCAAAAAATCACCAACACATGGGCAAAACCTCCAAACCTCAATTAGCCAAAATCCAACAAAGATTCACAAAAAAATTCTGACAAAATTCCACTCAAGGAACACAGCATGATTATGATGTGCTCAACATTATACACAGGAAAAAAAAATACAAATAATTATAATAATGTTTTTATTTTTATATTAAGTAAGATAACAAGAGAAAAAGAACATTGATGAGACTTTTTTGTGGTACGTAAATTGAACAAGAAGAATTGAAATGAATTAAGAAGAGATGAAAAAGAAGAAGCTAATATAAACTTAGTTATGAGGATTAATATGAGCTTATTTATTGTTGAGATATTAGTGTGATTATTTGCAATCGGGATGGTATGTTGGGGATTTATAAACGAAATAGGAAGGTTTCATTAAGGCATACTAGCTGGGCAACTTCCTTTCCTTCAAAAGCATGAGAAACTAGGCTATCTTCTAGACTATGATTTATACTCTGAATCAGCGATGGTCAACCCATGTGCCACGAAAAAAAATCGAAAAATCTCACAAATCATATGTGGTGTGCGGTTTTGGTCATCGCTTATTACAAAGATGTGTTGTTAAAAAAGGTTTTCCATCACTGCTCTAGATCGTAGGAATATAGCTCAGTCTTTGATGTTATTTAAAAACACTGATAACTTAGAAACCACAAATCAGACACTCAAGTTCCCAAAAAATCTGCACTAATCCAATTCATTCTCAATAGAAAGTCTTCTCAACTTCCTCTCACATAATAACCTGCAAATGCACAGCATTCAGCTTACATTTATGAGGAAAAAAAGTTTATAAGATTGAAAATAATATTTATGCAGTTAGATAGGCACTGAAATAAAAGAAAGCAGTAAAGAAGAAATCATCATCATGTAGATAAATTGAATGTGCGCAAATGTTAATAATGTGATGACTTATGGAGAGCATGAAAAAATGTGCAGTGTTTTTTCGTGTAGATGCATATCGGGCATTTTATGACATATTAATCTTAAGTTAGCAATCTCTTCTTTACCCTTTAGTATATTGTCTTATTTTGCACACACGCAGCATAGATGAGGTCTGAGTTTGCATGCAAGGCATTTACTTTGTTGTGCTGTGCAGTTTTTTCTGGAAGTTTTTCGATCATTTTGGGTTAAGCATCAAAATTTTGAATTAATTTGTGGGAGTCAAAAATGCGCTTTTGACACATTAAATAAGTGACTTTTAAAACTCGTTTTTTCTTGAAAAAACAAAAATTCTTGAAACTCTAATAACAAAGCTGTATTTGTCAACATAAATTCAAGAATTGCAAAAAATGCGCTTTTAATCTCAACAATTAAAATGACTTTCTTACTTGTTTATTTCTCTCTCTTTTCCTCCTCCTCTCATTTATATTATAAATATATTTAAAATGATTTATACGAAATAAGTAATTTGTTAAAGCACATAATTTTTAAGTAGAATGAGTTATGAAATAATAAAAATTATAAAACATTTTTTTTTTGATCTGATTAGACATTTGTAATGAAACATTAAATTACTTCTTACTGTTGCTTATGTGCTTCCAGACCTGTCCTTCGTAACCGCAAAAAACCACTCATATTCATTAAAAGTATGTAGCTTTTTGTGTTGTTGAAAGAATTTTTACAATAATTCACTCCTTTCGATTGTGTGTAGACTGGAATGAATACACAATGAAATATTATTTTTGTTTCGCTTCTCGGCTCGACTCGAAATTGAATATTTAAAGGTATTTAAGCAGTTGAAAGGTGAGTTAACAGCTAAAATTAGTACAACAATGAGATGATTTTTCTTCGATGTAATTGAAGGGCTTGTTGAACAATTACGTGGCATTGGGATAGGGTGGAATGATTTTTGAGGTTATGAAGTATTAATTCATTATTAATCATTTAAATTCGATGACAAAAAAAATATTATAAATAAATTCTACAGATGTGTAATTTTCATTGTTAAGGATTTGAACCTTTGATTTCTTGAGTATCTCAAATTATTTTAATGTTTATTTTAACCAATTTAATCTAAAATTCGATAAAAACAATTTTAAATTTCACTTCCAACTTTTGATATCTTCTAATAAGAAAAAATTTATTGCCATCATCAATTCCTAAAATAACAAATTTCGAAATAAAAACAAAACATTCAAAGTTCTCAAAGTGATTTTAAAAGTTAAAAGAACATTACCCGAGAAATATGAGCTATAAGCATCTAATAATAAGGAGTGAAATAAATCAATAATTTACTTAATTTTTTTTTTTAAACATCAATCGATGTGTTTTTTGGAAATTTTATTAGTAGCTCTGTGATTTTGGGTTTGGAGTGATTAGGTTTGTCAGTTTGGGTTGGAGTTTTTTAGATTTTATGTCAATCATGATTGTTGTAGGTCCCAAAAAGTTATAAAAGTGCTCATCAGCTCTCTGAATCTATTTGAGCTATTTTAAACCCTGTTTAAGTAAAATCAATAGTTTAGAACTGATCAAAATGATCTGAAAGGTTGAAAGGTGAAAATGACCCTTTCAGGTTACCGACATTTGCCCACTCTTCATATCCCACTGACATTTTCCCATTGGTACTTTTGCCCACTGGTACTTTAATTTAATCTCAACATGCAAAAGAAAATAAGTTTCAATATGCAAAATCTAAAAAATGCGCTCTATCCTCTCCTCAACCGTGACTTCCTTACTTGTCATTTTTTTATTTCTCACATTTTATTGGTTTACTTCAATAATTAATGATAAATACGATGATCATCAATCATTGTAGTTAATATTATCGAAAAGAAAACAAGACAAGTTCGAGAAAAAAAAAATCCACTTAACATTGAAGACGAAAAATGCTGAAGATGTGCTGCTTATATTTTGGATATTAATATTAATCTACATAATATTTTGTTGTGTTTAACAATTCTCTCATCCACCTCTATGTGTCTCTTCGTTAGTTTCCACTGAAAATAAGGAAAAAAAATCTCATTCCAAAATGAGAAAGACAAAGCAAGTGGAGCCGTGGAAATGACAAATGACTACTGAATAATGTTAGATGTACATTCATTCTACAGATGAAGATACACATCAGACATTATTATTGTAAGAGTGGATCAGTGGTGTGAAGATTTGAATGTTGTGATAAGTTCGTAAAGTATTTTGTTGTTTCTTTATTCCTTTAAGTATCTTTAATCTTGTCGACATACTGCCTTTTAGAGCTGGGGATTAGAGAGTTGAGATTCATATCTTTCGGGATGTCTCGGACTTTTTTTTTCTGTCTTTGGCGTTAGTAACATGAGAGTTGGATGGGATGTATGGATATCTTTATGTCTGCAACTTGTTAGAAATTACGGAATTTTATGCACATTTTTAAAATTCTTTAAATGGGTCTATGCTGGAAATTTTAATTTGAATGGTTCTGAGCGCTTCATTTGAAAGCCTTATTACGTTTGGATTAAGATCCTCTTGTTTTAATTCTCCTTAAAACCACTGATTTCTTGGATATATCCTATAATAAACACAAGCTTAGCAGCTCATAAATCTTACTGAGTATCCAACCAGCCAATCACACATCAAATCAACTCTAACCACAAAATTAGTACAAAATTCCATCAATTCCACAATCTTTAGACTAGATCGAGTCACAACAATTTTCTTGACCATAATCCACATATCTGAAGGTGCCAATCTAGTCAGATTATCGAGCATTTTGGCATTTTGGCTTTTAACTTAACAATATTTTGTGAGAAAAAAAAAATAATCTATGGCTTGCAATGAGTCTCAGAGCTGAGACAGGTAATTAAAGTATTTAATTACTCTTAAGTACGTCTTTTTTTCGTACCTCATTCTCCTCTTTTACACTTCCATTCCGCTTCGCCAGTCGACATTCCATTTCACAAGTTCAATGAAGCATGAGAAATTGTGAGACTGTTTGTTCGGTGTATGGATTGAATATAAAATGCTATGTATTTTGATTATATTTGAATATATCCGCGCGCAATGATCGCACATTTACAATGAATATAAAGAGAAGAAAAAAAATACCGAAACAAGCACAAGAACATGCAACTTCTCCTTTATTTCGAATAATTTAAGACAGAAAATATTATTATATATCATTTCATTAAGTGAATATCATTTTCATCAATATGAACATGATACTGAAACAGAAATATCAAATTACAAACATTGATGATTCTTACTTCTTACGAAAATAAAATAAATAAATATCGTATTGGTCATCTGCTATCTCCATTCTTTTTCTTTCGCGTATTTAATGAAAATAAAATTTACGGAAAGTTGTGGGAGATTTTAAAGGAAAGTTTGTGTTAAGGACGCATTTATTTGACAATTTGCAGGATTTAAATATGACTTGTTGATATAACTTTGAAAAATAATTGTAAAATTATCAAAAACTTACCCGAAAGGCACAGTGTGCCAAGTTCTTGGCACAATCCTGGCACACGCCAGCAACCGATCAAAATTTGTGCCGCATCGATGTTTCGGCTTGGTGCCAGCACAAATTTTAGCATCGAGATGGCTTCACACTGGCACCGAAAAAAAACTGTGCCAACTTAAAATATTTTCGTCAATCTAGCACCGTTTTAATTTTGCACCAGCACCACACCGCCATAAATTTTATTTTTGTTCAACATACATGCTTGCACAGATTTGTAAAACCTGCCGTCGTGGAGATATTACCATGCCAGCAGAAAAAATTTTAAATATCTTTTTCTTAAAGTTTTAAATCAGTTTTTAATTTCATAAAAAAACTTTTTAACCATTTAAAGTGATTTGGTATTTATTTGCCTTTATAAATAAATAAACAATTACATCCCAACTACAACGTAAGTTTTGTGATTTGATGTACAAAAAAGGAATGCATAATAAAAGGCAAAGAAAGTCGAGCAAAATTTTTTTTTAAGTTTTTTTGTGTTTTTTGCTGGTTTTGGGACATTATTATTTTATTGGACGCTTCGTCAATCATTATTAAGGACCTCAATCATCAAGTACACAGTAAGTATAGTGTATAAGGACTTAAATTAAATAAAAAAATAAATCACATTTAATCGCGGCGTCGATGTGGCACATTCGTTGATTCGAATCTACTTCTGCGCCGCAAAAATATGCAAAGTCGCACAAAAATTTTATATAAGTTTCTTTGTGTTTTTTGCTAGTTTTGGGACATCATTATTTTATTGGACGCTTCGTCAATCATTATTAAGGACCTCAATCATCAATTACACAGTAAGTAGAGTGTATAAGGACTTAAAATCAATAAAAAAATAAATCACATTTAATCGCGGCGTCGATGTGGCACATTCGTTGATTCGAATCTACTTCTGCGCCGCAAAAATATGCAAAGTCGCACAAAAATTTTATATAAGTTTCTTTGTGTTTATTGCTAGTTTTGGGACATCATTATTTTATTGGACGCTTCGACAATCATTATTAAGGACCTCAATCATCAATTACACAGTAAGTAGAGTGTATAAGGACTTAAAATCAATAAAAAAATAAATCACATTTA